ATCTAATTTATTGAAACAACAAATGGTGTCTCATCATAAGTATGATGAGAAGGAGGGAAAAAATTATACTGTCACTCCAAAGAAGAAAAACTATAATCAGGAGAAACAACTACACGACGAACAACAAAAGACTCTCAAACCAAAAACATAAAAAAAATAACAGCAACTAAAGAAACAACAGAACCTATAGAAGAAACCATTTTCCAACTAGTGTAAGCATCAGGATAATCAGCATAACGACGAGGCATCCCAGAAAGACCTAAAAAATGCTGAGGAAAAAAAGTAAGATTTACACCTATAAACATTATAAAAAATTGAACCTTACTCAATTGAGGATGCAATCCAACCCCAGAAAACAAAGGAAACCAATGAGTAAAACCAGAAAAAATAGCAAATACTGCACCCATAGAAAGAACATAATGAAAATGAGCCACAACATAATAAGTATCATGAAGAACAATATCCAAACTAGAATTTGAAAGAACTACACCAGTTAAACCTCCTAAAGTGAATAAAAAAATAAAACCCAAAGCCCAAAACAAAGGAGCCTCCCAACGTAAATTAGAACCTTGAAGAGTAGCCATTCAACTAAAAACCTTTATCCCAGTAGGAACTGCTATTATCATAGTAGCAGCTGTAAAATAAGCTCGAGTATCCACATCCATACCTACAGTAAACATATGATGTGCTCAAACAAGAAAACCAAGTATACCTATAGCAACCATCGCATAAACCATACCCAAATAACCAAAAGGCTCTCTCTTACCAGAATAATGAGAAACAACATGAGAAATCATACCAAAACCAGGTAATATTAAAATATAAACTTCAGGATGACCAAAAAACCAAAATAAATGCTGAAACAAAATAGGATCACCACCACCAGCAGGATCAAAAAAAGTAGTATTTACATTACGATCAGTAAGAAGCATTGTTATAGCCCCAGCCAAAACAGGTAAAGATAACAAAAGAAGAAAAGTAGTAATAAAAATTGATCAAACAAAAAGAGAAAGACGATCAAAAGAAATACCAGGAGCACGCATTTTTATTATTGTAGTTATAAAGTTAATCGAAGCTATAATAGAAGAAGCACCAGCTATATGTAAAGAAAAAATAGCAAGATCAACAGAACCACCAGAATGAGCAATACCACTTGACAAAGGAGGATAAATAGTTCACCCAGTACCAACACCCCTTTCAACACCAGCAGAAGCCAATAAAAGAAGAAAAGAAGGAGGCAAAAGCCAAAAACTCATTTTTTTTACCCGAGGAAAAGCCAAATCAGGAGACCCTATCATTAAAGGTACTAATCAATTTCCAAAACCCCCTATCATAACAGGCATCACCATAAAAAAAATCATAACCAAAGCATGAGAAGTAACAATAACTTTATAAATATGATCATCCCCCAAAAAAGAACCAGGCTGAGCAAGTTCTGCACGAATTATTATACTTAAAGCAGTTCCAACCATCCCAGCTCAAGCACCAAAAAGAAAATACAAAGTTCCTATATCCTTATGATTTGTAGAAAAAAATCAACGATTTACTTGCATATTTATTATAAAAAACTTCAAAGATTAATTACAAATTACATAACAAAATATAACACCAAATCTAAGAAATAAATAAATGAAAAATATATTTTATTTTATTCTTAAAACCCTAAAAATTATTTTACCAACTTTAATATCCGTGGCATTTATTGTTTTAATAGAACGAAAGATACTAGGATACATGCAATTACGAAAGGGACCAAGAATAGTAGGACCTTATGGAATAACACAAACAATAGCAGATG